CCTTTCTAGCTTGTTTTTTAGAAATCAAATTAAAGTTCTCAATCCACACCTTCACAACTTTTTCCGCCCCAAATGCCAGTTTGGCATACTAATAATTCTCACCTCAATTTCCTAAACCTAAAAAAATAATGAAATTGGAAGAATGATTTCCATCATATTACTACATGACTACATCAAAGCAAACATTGACAGAGGACATCTCAAACATACCAGAGATTTAGTCACTGATCCCTTAGCTGGAGTCTCAACTAACATCTCCCCATTCATGTGAGATAACATAGGACCCAAACGTTCAACACAATCAACAACAATAAAACAATGAGAAGCACCAGTGTCAATAATAGCAAGTAAAGGAGTACTATTAATGAAACAAGTACCTTCAATAAGTCTGTCATCGTTGGATGTCTGAGTCCCAGATAGAGCGAACACCCTTCCACCAGTCTTTTCTTTCTTAGGCTTCTGACACTTGTCACGCAGGTGTCCCTCTTCCCCGCAGTTGAAACAAACCATCCCCTTGCGTTTGCACTCAGTAATAGCGTGTCCCAACTCACCGCAACGGTAACATCTCACTGGTCCAGAGTTACACACATTACTCTTATGGCCAGGTTTCCCGCACTTATAACAAACAATACCAGCATGAGCATCTCCCCTACTAGTTTTCTTGTCATCAGTTGCTCTCTGTTTCCCTTTGCCAACTGGAGGATCATAAGGCTTACCGCGATTCTGCTGCGACTTGCTTCTCCTCTCACTCAACAGCTTGTAATGAGCATTGCTATCTTCTTCATAAATTCTACAACTTTCAACCAACGCATCAAAAACAAGGATCTTCTGATACCCAATTGCCTTCTTGATTTCATACTTCAATCCATTCTCAAACTTGATACACTTAGAAAACTCAGCGGTTTCTGCGCTGTAGTGCGAATAAAACTTAGCCAATTCTTTGAATTTCGCCGCATACTCGGTAATAGATTTGTCTCCTTGCTTCAGTTTAAGAAACTCAATTTCTTTCTTACCACAAACATCTTTCGGATAATACTTCAGAAATTCCCTACGGAATACAGTCCAAGTGACCTCCTAACCTGCAGCTTCCAATATCGGACGAGTCTCTAGCCACCAGTCATCAGCTTCAACTGCTAGCATATGAGTCCCATAATGAACCTTCTGTGCTGGAGTACAATCCATCACACGAAAGATTCGCTTCATTTCCTTCAACCAGTCCAGTGCACCATCAGGATCGTGCTTACGCTTGAATGTAGGTGGATTCTCCCACTGAAACGTTGCCAAACTGCGAGACCCAGCATCTTCAACAGGATTCAGCTGATTTTCCGTAGCATTAGCTATAGCTTGCAGAGCAGCATCAATTGCAGCATCATTCCTTCCAGCCATTTCAACTTAAATTGCCACAACCAACAGTCAGATTTCACAAACAACAATACTCAATTGTTAGACACGACGACTGACTCAATAACTTGGTCGGATGGAACGACCTGCTTTGATACCACTAATGTAACACCCCATTCTAACCCAACAGATAAATAAGACAATAACAAATCAGAGTGCACGAAAAATGGCTAAGTGACGATCGTGATGGTCATGACGATCATGATGATCATGACGACCGTGATGGTCATGACGACCGTGATGGAGTGGTGACGACTGTCACACTCACAAAAACTAGGCGCATCAGAGATGTCACATGTTTTCAACTAACAGACCATTGCCACAGATCATTGAGTAACATACATAGCACGGAATCGGATGAACAAACAACGATAACTTGCTTATCATCTTAATTGTAAGACAACCTGTTATTTTGCAGCGGAATTTAATAAACTTCCAAACAACTCATAATAAACCAAAACAAAGGCAAGAAAGGTTTTGCATCTAAACTCCATTAAAAGTCATCAAGTAATAATCTTGCATAAATTCACTAAAACAACTAGTTTCAACCATAACAATCAGCACTACCGTTTCATCGGTCTAGTGCGTACAACCAACATTTGGCACTATCAGAAGCAACCAATTTTAAAGAAAATTACTTAATAAAATTCAGCAACAAGTAAATCAATTAACACAATAAAATTAATCGTTCATCCCCCCAAGAGTGCTACGTATCAGAGCGACCAACGACACCTTAAACGAAAAGCGACACTTTATTCCAGGTTACCTGCAAATTACCACCATTGGAGGTAACATACAACGTAAAAGGGTGAGATATCAAAATTATAACATAAGGCATGATAAAATTCATGTCAGGATCATATCACAACATTATAATTCTCGCAGTTCTCCAAATATTATCACAACGAACTACCAGAAAATTCATCATTCATATTCGCAACAATTAGCAAGAAAAATTCAGCAACTCATAATTTCTTGCAAACACATAATGACGCGACACTATGCGACTCAACTAAGCATATGCATGTGGTACCAATTTGGAGCAGCACTCCACAACCAATTTATTTGCCATTATAGGCCACCAATACAGGCACAACCAACGCCAGTACAGGCACAACCAAGGATGATATGCTATGGGATGCATCTATTATGGACTACAACACAACAACAACTACTACGCAACAAGGCATTAAGCCTACAACCAAATTGTCCATAACCGAAACATCGCAATTTCATACTCATCTTATAACCACAATTTTCATATCAAATCAAGTAAGAGCATAATAACAACATTCTCTCAACAAGTACAGATTGACGCGTGTCGGCGCCGTTTCCAAATATTATCACAGAATTAACGACACAAAACACTAATTCCGGCACCGGCGAGCATTATCCCTAATATTATCAACTCGCAGAAATTAACCCCATGATTCAATTCCCCACATGAAATTGATCATACCCATAGTTATAGAATTGAACCCCACCCTTACCTTTGGATTGAGGACAACTCTAAACTCCCGGTTCCGGTTTGCTCTCCGGTGACTCTTCTGCAACTACCTTGAATTCTCTCCGGCGGTTAATTCCTCTGTTCTCAATTTCCCCCAGCCACGTTCCTTTTTCCTTTTTCCTCAACCTTTCTCCTTAATTTTGGTTCTGAGCAGTTTATCGTGTTTTTCCTCTTCTCCCCCACAACTTCTCTAATAACTCCCCTATTTCACTTATTTCATCCACTAATATTACAAATAATAATAATAATAATAATAATAATAATAATAATAATTATTATTATTATTATTATTATTATTATTATTAAATTATCATCATTATTGATTATATTATTTATTATTGTTCTGGCCTGGGCCCCGAGCTGAACTATGCTGGCCCGACCCAATAATGTTCCACCAGGCCCTACCCTGTCCGGGTACCGCATCAGGCACAAGATTCCCGACACGCTAGAAAGGTCTCTCCGCGAGGAAGAACCGTCCCAACCACCCGGGCGAGCGAATTGCCCGCACGACCAAACACCGCCTTCCGCGGGCGGTATTCCCCATGCCACCGAGCAAGACCCATGGCTTTCCTGCGTCCACGTGTGCTCCCCTCCGCGGGGAGAACAACACACCTCCGCGGAACCTCGCGAATTCCCCTCTGCGGGGAGAACAACGTGCCATGCGCACGTTCTCCACGTGCTCCCCTCCGCAGGGACACGTCATACCCCAACTGCCCCCCTCTGAAAGAGCAGGTCAAACCCACTTCCCGGAGACCACGAGACAGATGGACTAAGGCGAAGACCACGTCCTGGTCTTCATTAGCCACGTAAGCCCTAGCAGTCAAATGAGTTGGGCCTGGCCATCTAGTCCAACACAAGTGACCGTTGGCCCAGCGCTGGGGTCTCTCTATAAATACCCTCTTCCTCAAGAGGGTCAGGTAATTCACTTCTGACCCATTTTCTGTACTTTGCTCTCACTCTGCCCAACTCCTTACTTTGGCATCGAAGTGTCTTGCAGGTACACCCCCCTTCTCCTCCTCATCACCGGTGAACAGGTAGCAGTCCAACAGCGTGTGGTCAGCCCGTGATCCCCTTCTGATCAGGTCAGATCAATTATTAAACTCTATATTTTATTAAATGATTTTCTATACTTTAAGGATACCCACCAACGCTCTCAGACACACTTCCACATAAAGACACACCAACAATTCATAAATAATTTAATTTAAAATGAACGGGCATTACAGACAGACTTAACAGACCTGTCATATTTGCATTTTTGTAGGCATAACCAAAGCTTTGGATCAAACTCCACAACTTTATCCGCTCTACACTATTTTTTTTGACAAACTTCGGCAAAAACGAGGTTAAACGGGATGGAAATAACGTTTTGTCACTTTTATGTTTTAAGGATACTTTAATGTTTTAAGGGTGGCAATGCCATGCTCCATTCTAGCTTGTTTTACAGAAAACTGAATTAAAGTTCTCAATCCACACCTTCACAACTTTGTCCGCCCCATCCCCTCAACTTTGTCCGCCCCAAATGCCAGTTTAGCACACTAATAATTCTCACCTCAATTTCCTAAACCTAAAAAAATAATGAAATTGGAAGAATGATTTCCATCATATTGCTACATGACTACATCAAAGCAACAATACCTGTTCTATCATCCAACCTTAACTCTTGCTTGGTATGTCTTAAAGCAACATGTTTGTTTGGTTTGGAGGGACCAAGCGATATAGCACTTCAAGGAACAAAAGGTCATTTCCCAATTCTTCTTATGTAATTAGAAAAATGATCTCAAACAAATCATGCACAATTTAACAACTCGAACACATATATTTGAGAAAAAACAATTTTACTAACCTCCACAAATCTAAACAAAAGTTCACAACACAAAGAAGCATTAATAAACAAGATTTGAATGAATGAAATGAAAAGTGGTTCCCAACCATGATGAGGTACAAATATTTTACAAGGTTGGTTTACAATGAATCTACAATATCATAATCTCCTAAAAAAGAATTTCCCACATTAATTAAATATAGACAGAACAAAGGAACAACAATATCACAATTTCCTACCAAACAAAAGAATTCCACATCATGTTCTCTAATGGTGTTCCTCATGATCTTCAGCATTCTTGTCAACAGCAACATCAATCCTTTCATACCTTACATCAGAAGGGTGTTCAGGCAATTTAGCAAGAGACTCTTCTTCACGTTTATGGAAGAAAATCACCCACATAAACAAAATCACAAATGTCACCAACACAACACAAACAGATCCAAATATCAAACCAGCAAGAAATGTCAAAGGACGATCCTTTCTTTTCGCATCAAGCACAGCTTGTTCTTGTCCATGTTCTTCAGGATTAGCAGGTTCAGAATGCAATGAATTTGAAGCTTTCTTCACATTAACCTTCCATGAATAAACACGAACAACCTGAACAGAATCGGCATCATTCGAAGAACTCAAACCCATAAACACAGGCTCATTACCCCAAATCTTAAACAAATCAATGGTATGCGAAACGATTGGATTTACAGATTTCGTTTCATTCAATTTGTTTAACCTAACTTCCAATCTTTGCGACCCAGCTTCATAATCAACCCAAGCCTTCAACTTTTCGCCGCTATTGAGAACCAAATTCGACCTAGAGACATTCGCAACCGCTACGGAGATGAGGCTTCCGACGTCGATGCCGACATGATTCGCGTTCATATCACCAACATTTTCGTCTTTCGACGTATCGAATTCGACACCGAGGTAACTGTTTGCCGGAGGTGAAAGACCGTAGGAGCCATTACCTGGGAATGCAGACGAGAGATCGCCGGGGATGATTAGAAGGATGAGACCATCGCCGGGATCGGGAGTAATGGAGAATGAGAATTCGATGGAGAAGGAAGTGGGGTTGGTGAACGTGACGGGGCTATGACGGAGGAGGAGACCGGCGGTGAGAGAAGAATGGTGGGTGAGTTTAACGTGGGACCCACCGAAGTGATCGGCGAGAAGCTTTGCATCGCCGAAGAGGTCAGTGTCGGGGTCGAAATTAGTGTTATTGGAGATAGTAAGAGAAGAAGAAGAAGAAAAAGGTTGAAGAAAGAGGATTAAGGAAAAGAAAACGAAGATGGAGAATGCAACCATGTTTGAAAGGGACAAGAACGAGAATGAATGTGTTTTCCTATGTTTGTTTGTGTGTTTCTACCGTTCGAAATTTGTGTTTGTTGCGGGTATCAATGTCAACCTCTCAAAAACTTTTTCATATTTCAACGATAATTTTAGTTAATAATTATAATTAATCAACCCTGTAAAAATATTTAGACGGATAAAATATATGATTCTTTGTTAAAATGTAGTTCGTTTGTGTTGTGTTTTTAAATTTGAAATGGAAAATATTGATAGGTAAAAATATAATAGAAATATAGAATGTAGTTTTATGTCTATATATAGAAATAGGGTTGGTCTTATGGTAGTATAAATAATTTAGCTGGAATTGTTGCATTAAGAGCTGGCTTTCGGCCTTCAGGAACCAGTGAAATTTTCCAACGCGGGAGATGGGTTATCTTAATTTTTCTTTGTCGGTGCATTGTGCTTGTAATTTTATTTTCAAGAGAGCTTGCAAAACGTGAAAATGTGTCGTTTTAAAGTATGTTTTTTTATAAAGCAAGTTATGAATTAAAGAAGTATTAGGGTGTTGACCGGAAAATTTCGACTGGAAAAAGTTGATATAGAAGCTGACTTGTGGGTCGATAGGTTAGGAAAGGTGGTGAAAGAAACGAGGAAAGTCGACGCCATTAGAAGAAGATTTTAACTCGACTTAAAGTGATTTTGTCGAAAGTGTCAACCGGTGGCTAAAGAAATTGATACGAAGTATAAGAACTTTTGAGCGGAAAGAAAATTTGAAAAGTTAAGAACGTGGAGAAGTTACAAAAGTCGTGTAGGGACATGTGACACCACCAAGACCAACATAGCAGTTATTTTCTTTTTCTATTTAACACAATACCCATTTTTGTTTTGAGAGGGAGGCGTATTTTGTAACATTGTAACGGAAAAACACTCTGAGTACCAAACGTTAAGAGAAAAGAGTTCATTCTTGCAAAATGTATTATCGCATCCACATTTCTTTTTAAAAGCAATTTACATTACCAAACTTTAAGATATTTTGATTTTTTACTCGTTTATTTTATTTGTCCTTCATTTGGTATACACATTTTTATTCGAGTTTGTTTCTAATTTATTCAAAACAAAACCATTATACCACCGTCGCATAGACTCGAACAGATAATTCTGGGACTTGTTTGACCGGTCCCGCAAGTAAACCTGCGTTAAGAGGTTAGAGGTTGTTAGCGCGAAAACTGCGTACGGACAAATTGGCACGCCCAGTATGACTCGTTGGTTTGGGTGTATGCATTTACATAGTAGTAAGATGGTGATACTACGTCCAAACAAAGAACCGTCTTCGGAAGGAAATATGGTTGTGATGCAAATAACCGACGTTGGCGCTGACACTGTGTCTGCGATTTCGACTGCACATAGTAGGCCTGTCATAAGGCCACGTCGACATAAACCTAGACCTATGATGACATGGACTGGGGGCAGTATGTGTCTAGTTTCACAATGCCCACGCCTCGAGCTTTTGGGATGCCGACATAATTCATGTCGAGCTTACATCATAGTGGCCCACTATTTGTAGAAAGTTCATCGTCAGCTTTCTCATCGTATCAAGGATTGGGGCCATAGGCGAACCAAGTTACTAGGCCCCCAGGGTTTAGTCTTCCGTCACATTCAATTCTCACTTTCACCTCAAGTTTTGTCGCCGTTATGAGACAACAGATGGATGAAAGTAATCACGAAATAGTTCACATGTTGACCTAGCAAATGGGCACCATATTAAGACCATTAATATAATATTCTACTCGGAGTTACCAATAGTTAGCAACTCAGATGACACCGATAGGTGATTTCTTAGGCGCTCTTAGGTCCCCGGGTCGATAGACGCCGCCGCCTCGACCGGAGACGCCAATTCGACAAGACGAAACAATTAACCAGAAACCCCATGAGGTTGAACACACACCTAGGGTGGCCCAAAGGTCCCCCCGTTGTTTTAGTTTATAGGAACCAAGACCCAGACAATGTGGTCAGACAGGTTCGACACGAAGCCATGGCTGGCGAACCAAACTTAAAAGCTATGGTGGAACGGATTATGGTTCATAATGGAGTGAACCCAGGTCTTCAACGAACAACATATACATCCCTACTACCAGACTTTGTTTTGCAAACAGAGCTGCCTAGGGGCTGGAAGGTTCCGAAGTTCACCAAATTCGCCGGAGAGACCGAAGAGTCCATCGTCGAACATGTTACCAAATATCAAACTGAAGCTAGTGACATAGCGAACAACGAGGACTTGAAAATGAAGTATTTCCCAAGTTCCCTCACAAAGAATGTGTTTACTTGGTTTACCATATTACCCCCACAGTCTGTCCATACCTAGGCACAATTAGAAAGGTTGTTTCATGAACAGTTTTACACGGGACAATAAAAAATTAGTCTGAAAGAGCTAGCCAGTGTCAAACGAAAGGCCATAGAGTCGGTGGACCAATATCTTAATAGGTTTAGACTTTTGAAAGCATGATGCTTCATGCAAGTCCCTGAACATGAGCTAGTCGAGATGGCGGCTGACGACCTAGATTATTCAATCCGGAAAATGTTAGACACGCAATATCTCAGAGATATGGCGCAGTTAGCTGATGGGTCCGACAAGTTGAACGCTTAAAAAATGAAAAAAAAACCAGGCTAACAGATACCGCAAGAAAGAGAAGGTTTTGAACATGGCCACTGACGAATACTCTTCTAACGACGAGGAGCTCGTCGACGAAAGCGAGGTTAATGTGGCTGAACTGAAGCCAGGGCCTCCATACACGTGTAAATTATTAAAACCATCAAATGAAAAAATCCTGTCGAAACTAAAAAAATAGATAAATACGTCACGAAAACATATATTTTTGATGTATCTAAATGCGACGAAATATTTAATTTATTAGTTAAGGAAGGTCAGACTATTGTCCCTCCTGGGGCAAAAGATCCCCCTTTAGAATTGTTGTACCTCGAAAATTCACTCGAATATACGACCCTCACGCTAAAGGCGCGGAATACAGTTCGACAGAGTTGCCACTGAACTTTATTTATCTTGACGAGACGGGAAAGGAAAATATCGAGAAAACCTTTTAAACGAAAGGATAGGAACGATGGTGTTCACAGTGAAAATTGGGGAACAACCGCTGGTCTAACAAATCGAAAGAGATCTGGGTTACTTGCAGGATCGACCACACAAATCCTAGGACATGTGCTAATTGGTCTTTTTAAATGAAGTGAATGAAAATTATGAACACTTCGACGAGTTTCATGGTAAGGCAAATTATTTCAAGTATGAATGAATTTAAGCAACGACAAAAAGAAGTAAATTACTGATAAATAATAAGGATAATAACTTGCATAGAGAAAAGTAAACTTTTAAGTAAAAGAAGTGTTAAATTGCATTGAAATAAAATTGGTGTTTAGTCAACGTACATTCTCACGACTCGTTTCTCTCAATCATATGGATACTTAGAGTAAATGGAGATTTTGTACATAATTGAACACCCACATCTTAATACTTAGACCTGCTATTTATAACCATTGAACATAACCGCCATTAACGACTAATAAATGAGATCAGGATAAGTATCGCTGCGCATGCCTTCGAACCACCGGGATGCTCCACGTGTCTTTCTAAAAAATGGACTTTCCCTCTTTTATTTGAATTCAAATAAAATCTCGTCTAAATGCCCCTGAACAATGCTTCTGTCGAATTGGGTCTTCCAACTATTGAGGAATATCTCTAAGTCCATAACATAGAACCTCCTGACGAAAAACCGTCTTCGACTCTTACTCCATAAAACATAGTTTTAGTCAAAGTCATTAGATTTCCCCAGGAAACTCTATTTACTATTTTTAACTCTGTTCAGGCGTCAATATTAGGAGCCAACAGATGGTCGTCGCAACCACGTTCCAGGTTTGGGAGTCGGCTACACAAGGGGAAGGTATTAGCACCCCTCACGTCCGTTGTACTCAACGGGAACCTCTTAATTCGAATTATGATGAACGTTAGCTAAGCTTTAATTGTTTTCTTATTACTAATAAATGCAGAACGATACGATAAAAGGATAACGATGCTAGGTGAAAATGGATGGTTAAGGGATAAGGTGCTCGCCAAGGATTGGGGCCCTTGTGCCTACGTATGCTCATTCGGACGAGAATGAGAAATCAGAGCTCTTGTAGTTCGACTACGGGAAAGTATAGGGGGAAACGAAATATGGATGGAAGTGTGCTCGCCAAGACCATCACAATATTATGCCTACATATCTTACATCCAATAAATGAATGAAGAATCAGAGCGTCCGTAGTTCGTGGAGACGACCACGAAAATATGGGGTTGAAGTGGTTGAAGTTTGATTTGGATGACGATTACTCGAGCTTAAGAAAGGCTCCTCGGGCCTAAGTAATCAGGAGAGTGAGTCAAAGGCTTGACTTTCTCTCTTTTTTCATCTTGAAAAGAAGTTGTGTTTGAACGGTGTTTGAATGATGAGTGGTTGGAAGATGGTTGAAGGTTATCGAGTTGGAAATGTTTTAAGAGGCGTCAATCACTCACATACGAGTAAGATAACTCGCATCCAAATAACTGAAGAGAGATCAAAGGCTCAATCCCCCTCTTTTCACCTTGAAAAGAATTAAATAGTTGTTAATTGATTTGATGGTTTGATTAAGAAAATCTACTTGACGTTGGATCAAGGGTTTGACTTATATTTACGTGCAAAACCGTGGTGGAATGGAAGTTGATTTGAAAATGGCTCGACAATGAGTCGAGGGTTTGGTTAATAATGGAATCGGCCTGACCATAAATCAAGGGTTAGGTTGTGAGAAACGATACTAGTCCCTGAGGGTGCTCATAATAACAAAACCACGACTAAATGTGAAAGTGTGTGCGATAGTTTGATGGCGAATGCGCACGGGTACTCGACTTACGAGGGGTGTTTGAAAATGGCTCGACAATGGATCAAGAATTAGTTTGAAAATGGTTTAATCTATGCTAGTCCCTAAGGGTGCTC